GTTGACGGTTTACCGCCGGCGCCAGTACCTCGTAGAGCTCTTCGGCATCGATGAGCTAGAGGAATTCCGGCGCGGGGTGGAGCTAGTTCGCGCACCCGGCCCGGACGGACAATGTGTCAACCTGGGGTCAGTTTTTCGAATATTTTGAGAGATTTTGAAATTGGTTTTGGGAACCACTACTGGGCGCCGGCGGTAAACCGTCAACCTTTCTTACCACCGGGGGACTCGTAGAGCTTCCTTGCCATATATTATGTTCAAAGAATTAGCAGAGAACGAATAGTCTAGATACATTTCACTATTGCCCCTGATAATTCCTTGCCCATTGCTGTGCTGCACAGACCCAAGCCAAGCGTCTAGATACTTAAGACTAGCGCGCCTCATGATTTTCTTCTGACTTATTTGCCGAAGAGCTCTCAAGATCATCTGCAGCTCGACTTACGTGAAGAAATCCACCGTCATTTCGGAAAAAAAGATGTCGAATAGGAGCTTTGCGGACCTAGCTCGAGTAGTTGACTGAGTTCAGAGCTCCAGATGCTTCAGTCGAACGCCCCTGATGATTCTGAATCGATTGTGTGCGTACAAGCTCCCTAGCTCTGCTCCAGCTCGAATTAAGTGCAGAACACGGACAAGCGTGTTAAGATAACTCGAAGAATACGAATAGTTTCGCGGACCTGGCTCGAGTAGGAGACCAAGTTCAGACCTCTAGCTGCGACGAGCGCGCCTGATGCTTCTGAATCGATTCGTGTGCGTTCCAGCTCTGTAGCTCTCCTACAGCCCGAGTTAAGTACAGAAAACCGAGAGCACCTGTGAAGATGACTCGAAGAATACGAATGGTTTCGCGGACCTAGCCCGAGTAGCAGACCAAGTTCAGACCTCTGAATGCAACAGACGAACACGCCTGATGATTCTGGATCGATTTCTTTGCGTACCAGCCATGTAGCTCCGAGTTCAGTTCAGGAAACCGACAGCACCTCTCAAGATGACTCGAAGAATACGAATAGTTTCGCGGACCTAACTCGAGTAGCAGACCGGGTTCAGACCTCTGGATGCAACAGACGAACGCGCCTGATGATTCTGAATCAGTTTCTGTAAGTATCAGCTCTGTAGCTTCCCTAAATCTCGAGTTAAGTACAGAAAACCGTCAACGCGTGTCAAGATGACTCGAAACGGCCGATCCCGCCCGGACGCTTTTTGGTAGTAGTATCCACCCGCCTGAGATTAAGACGGCGAGCGGGAATAAGATCGAATATCATTGGAAAAAATACTGGACGCGGGCGGTAAACCGTCAACCTTGGTTACCGCCGGGGGACTCGTAGAGCTTCCTTGCCATGTACCATCTCCGAAGAATTAGCAGAGTACGAATAGTTGTTCAGCCCGAGCGCTAATAGCAGACTGATTGCAACCGTCTAGATACATTCAACTAGCAACAGCTGTCAAGACAATTCGTACAGTACGAATAGTTTTGCAGACCTAGCTCGAGTAGTGGACCGAGTTCAGACCTCGGGATGCTTCAGACATGCGCGTCTCATGATTATGAATCGGTCTCTGCGTGCCAGCTCTTTACCTCACCTACAGCTCGACTTGAGTACAAGAAACTGATGGTATCTGTCAAGAGAACCGGTAGAATACGAATAGTTTCGCAGACGTAGCTCGAGTAGTTGACCGAGTTCAGACCTCCACATTCTTCAGACGACCGCGTCTGATGATTCTCGATCGTTTTCTGTGCGCACCAGCTCTGTAGCTCACCTACAGCTCGAGTTAAGTACAAATACCGACGGCATCTGTCAATAAAATCAGTAGAATACAAATAGTTTCGCATAGCTCGAGTAGTAGACCGAGTTCAGACCTCTAGATGCTTTAGACGACCGCGTCTGATGATTTAGAATGTTTCTGTGCGTGCCAGCTCTGTAGCTCTCCTACAGCTCCAGTTCAGTAAAAAGAACCAACCTCATATGTTAAGCAAATCGATAAGAGTACGAATAGTTTTGCAGACCTAGCTCGAGTAGCAGACTGACTTCAGACCTCTAGATGCTCCAGATTAAAGCGCCTGCGGATTCTAGATCACTCTGTGAGAAGCAGCTCTGTAGCTCTCCTACAGCCCGAGTTAAGTACATGAAACCAACAGCACCTGTGACGATAACTCGAACAATACGAATAGTTTCGCGGGCCTACCTCGAGTAGCCGACCGAGTTCAGACCTCTGGATGCAACAGAGGAACGCGCATGATGATTCTGAATCGGTTTCTGTGCGTACCAGCTCTGTAGCTCTCGTGGAGCCTGAGTTATGTACAGAAAACTGTCAATATCTGTCAAGATGACTCGAACAATACAAATAGTTTCGCGGACCTAGCTGGAGTAGCAGACTGAGTTCAGACCTCTAGATGCAACAGACGAACGCGCCTGATGATTCTGAATCGGTTTCTGTGAGTACCAGCTCTGTAGCTCCCCTACAGCTCGAGTTAAGTACAGAAAGCCGACAGCACCTCTCAAGATGACTCGAAACAGCCGATCCCGCCTGGATGCTTTTTGGCAGTAAAAGGTACCCGATCGAGCTGAGATTGAGACGGCAAGCGGTAATAAGATCGAATATCACGGGTAAAAGTACTAGTGCCCTAACGAATGGTTGAATTTCGAGAGCAAAATTTTCAACCGAGCAAAAGTCACCAAAAGGTCCGTCGAGATTTTTCTTGCCAACTAGCTCTCCAGCGCCCCGGAATTACTTTTAAGCTTCCAGCAACTAGCTAAGGGAAGCTCTACGAGTTACTAGAGCTCTAACGAATTGCTGAATTTCGAGAACAAAATTTTCAACCGAGCAAAAGTCATCAAAAGGTCCATCGAGATTTTTCTTGCCAACTCGCTCTCCAGCGCGCCGGAATTACTCTTAAGCTTCCAGCGACTAGCTAGGGGAAGCTCTGCGAGTTATTTTTGTAACGTAGAGTAGGTTGTGCCGCGTTCGCCTGTTGAATCCTCAGGTTCGTAGCTGGAGTATTACTATCAAAAAACGTGGAGGAACAGCGGGCTGTCGGAATGCATTTTTCGAATGATTATAGAATATGTTCGACTCTCTAAGCTGATGTCTGCTTGAACCCACTCTTCGGGATCTAAAAAGAATCCCGTGATCCCAGAGCTCTACGAGGGTTCCGGCGGTGACCTGGTTGACGGTTTACCGCCGGCTCCCATTGAGCAGAGTGCGAATAGTTCCTCGTAGAGCTCTTCGTCATCGATGAGCTAGAGGAACTCCGGCGCGGGATGGAGCTAGTTGGTCGACCCGACCAGAAGAGACAAAGTGGTGACTTTGAATCGGTTTTGCTAATGTTTGAACGACATGTGACAATTCATTCTGAAAAAGCAGATTTTTACGCCGAGCATTGGCATATAATTTTTGTTCCCCAAACAGCTCAGCTCTCTGCAGCCAGTTTTAGTATGAGTTCACTTCCAGGAACCGACTTCATATTCACACGAAAAAAATGTCAATTTGAGGATGTCTAGAAACACTCCGAGAAGCTCCCTGCTTCGATCCTGAGCACTGTTACGCGTGCAAGGAGCTCTACGAGGTTCCCGGCGGTGACCAGGTTGACGGTTTACCGCTGGCGCCAGTTGTTCAGCCCAAGCGCTAATAGCAGACTGACTGCAGCCGTCCAGATACACTCAACTAGCGCCTCTGATGATGTCCTTCCGATTGCTGGGCAGAACAGCCCTGTAGCTCATCTTCAGCGCGTGTTGACCAATAAAGCCAATACCGTGTCCAAGAAATTAGCAGTACGAATAGTTGTCCAGCCCGAGCTCTGATACAAAACTGGTTTTAGGGGTAGATACTATCAAATAGCGCGCCTCATGATTGTCTTCCGAGTGCTGCGCCTAAGAGCTCGGGAGCTCATCTGCAGCTCGAGTTTAGTCAGAAAACCATTCCATCACCAGGAAAAAACATAATATAATAGTCGTTCGGCTTCTGTGCTGCGAACAGACCAAATTCAAGCGTCTAGATAATTTCCTCCCGATTTCTGTGCCAAATAGCTCTGAAGCTCAGATGCAGCTCTACTTCAGTCAAGCAACCCACCATCATCTCGAAAAACATCAGTATAATACGAATAGTTTCGCATACCTAGCTCGAGTAGCAGATCGAGTTCGGACCTCTAGATGCTTCTGACAAACGCGCCTGGTGATTCTGAATCGAGTACGTGTGCGCATCAGCTCTGTAGGTCTCATACAGCCCGAGTTGAGTACAGAAAACCGACAACAGCGGTCAAGTAAATTCGTACAATACGAATAGTTTTACGGATCTAGCTCGAGTAGTAGACCGAGTTCAGACCTTTGATGATTCTGAATCGATTACGTGAGCGTACAAGCTATGTGGCTCTCCTACAGTTCGAGCTAAGTACAGAAAACCGATAGCATCTGTCAACAAATTTCGTACAATACGAATAGTTTCGCGGACCTAGCTCGAGTAGCAGAGGCATTCAGACCTCTAGATGCTTCAGATGAACGCGCCTGATGATTCTGAATTGGTTTATGTGCGCACCAGCCCTGTAGCTCTCCTAAATCTCGAGTTAAGTACAGAAAACAGTCAACGCGTGTCAAGATGACTCGAAACGGCCGATCCCGCCAGGATGCTTATTGGCAGTAATAGGTACCCGATCGAGCTCAGACTGGGCGCCGGCGGTAAACCGTCAACCTTTCTTACCGCCGAGAGACTCGTAGAGCTTCCTTGCCATGTATTATGTCCAAAGAATTGGCAGGGAAGGAATAGTTTTTCAGCCTGAGCGCTGATAGCAGACTGATCTCAGGCTTCTAGATATATTTCACTACTGCCGCTTTTCATTCCCTTCCCATTGCTGTGCTGAATTGCTCTGTAGCTCATCTGCAGCACAAGTAAAACCAAGAAAAACAATATCATTTCCAAGAAAGTAGCAGAGTACGAATCGGTGTTCAGCCCTAGCGCTAAGAGCAGACTCAGCACGGGTGTCTAGATACTTTCAAATAGCGCCCATGATCATTTCCTTC